CCCAATGTGATTTTTGCCCAAACAGACTCTGTCTTCTCCATTCTATCACTTTTTATTTCTTTACAATCTACCTCATCTTTGATATACAATGTGACTCCACCACCTTTACCCTTATTTCTTTCTTTCCTAAACAGCACATACCCTTCAATACCTGTACTCCAGTCATGGGATCCACCATGTTTCTGTTACTCCTATAATATCTGGTTTCACTTCCTGGACCAATAGCTCTAGTTCCTCCTTTTTGTTACCTAGGCTCCTCGCATTGGTGTACAAACATCTTAATTTTTGCTGTTTGGCCTCACTCACATTCTTTACCCATTTTGGCATGGATGTTGTACCTCCAGTATGACCTATTAGACTAGTTTCCACCCTACCCTTCCTCATGTATATTCTCCTACCCCCAGCTAAATCCTTTCTTACTTCGCAGTGTTAAAATCCAGCGTAGAGATTACCTGGACATCTCCCAACCGTCTCCCCCAAATTCCTAGTTTAAAGCTCTCTTAATCAGTTGAGCCAGCCTCCATCCTAGAAGTCTATTTCCCTCCCTATTTAGGTGAAGTCCATCCCGAGAGAATAGTCTTCTGTCCATAAATGCCTCCCAGTGACCATACATCCCAAAGCCCTCCTTATAGCACCACTGCCTAAGCCATCTATTGATCATCATAATCCTGTCACATCTTAGTTACCTTTCTCTAGAAACAGGCAGAATCCCACTAAAGATCACCTGAGCCTCAATTTCCTTGAGCGTCCTCCCCAGCCTAGCATAGTCTCTCTTAATTCGTTCCAGCGAGAATCTAGCCATATCATTTGTTCCTACATGAAGGATGATCAATGGATTCCTTCCTGCTCCCTTAATAATCCTCTTCAACCTCAGTTCCACATCCCGTATCTTAGCACCGACAGACAACACACCCTTCTATTCTCTGGATCAGCTCTGGTTACAGGCCTATCTATTCTTCTCAATAAGGAGTCCCCAATCACATAGACCTGCCTTTTCCTAGTGACAGTGCAATTCTCTGGTGTATCTCTTGCTTCCTCTGGCTGCAAGTCCTTGCCATTCCTGTTTTCCCTTGTAACCCTCTTTAACCCATCCTGTATTCTCCTAACGCTCATTATTGGTGTTGTTTCCATTAAGTCTTCCCCTTTATCTATGGGACTAGCCACTCTTCTCTTCTTCCTTACCCTTCCATCTTCATTATCTACCTGCTCTACCCCTTCTTCATTCTCCAGCTCCACATACCTGTTCTTGAGCTCTATTTTTCCTTCACTGACCCATCTTTTCCTCTGCCTGGTTCTCTGTGTCACATGCTTCCACTGTCCATTTTCTTTGCCCAGCAGTCCCCCTTCTGAGGCCCTTGATCCTGCTTCCATCTGCATATCTAAACTTCCCCTTCAGCCACGTCATGCCTTTGCTCCATCATCTGCTCAAACCCCCTTCTAAACTCGACCAGAGTTTCCACCTGAATCTCCAGTCCTCGGATCTTTTCTTCCATCAACTCCATCAGGCGGCACTTCATACAAACAAATCTCCTTTCAGGTACCCCCTCCAGAATCATGTACATACCGCAGCTACCACATCCAAACATCCTCCCTGTGTTCTCTACTACTTGGGCCATGGCCACTAATGCTTCTGTGTTTTATCTACTTTCTCACCAAAATCCTACCGGTGAACACAAAAACAAACCAAAACACCCCCTCCACAGCAAAAACAAACCCCAAACAAGTCCCACAATCCAAACTCCCTTTCCAAACTCCCACTCAAACTCCATTTACAGCTCTGTTTGCCGGCTCCTGTGCCGCTGCAGCTATCTATGCCGCTGCCTGACTAGCAGGCTACCTCTATAGGACCCCGAATCAGTGAAGCCCCGCCCCCTAATCAGGGCTCAGCTTCTCTCCCAGCACACTGCCCCTACAAGCCTCTACACATACAAACAATACAAATTCAAACTGCTCCTCCAACAGAACTCCCACTCAAACTCCCCTGTTTACAGCTCTGTTTGCCGGCTCCTGTGCCGCTGCAGCTATCATCTGTTGTAACCAGATTAGATGGTGTGCATCTCAAGGCAGGGATAGAGTCTTTGTTCAGGGAATAGGGTGCTGTACACACCTATGGCACTCTTCTAGGAACTGTCCTTAGGTTTGAATTTGAACATGAGCTAGCACAAGGGCATCCTGATCCAGAATTAGGACTCCTTAGTGTTTACATAATACAAACAATAAATCAATCACTATAGTAACCACATGCCATTTTCTAGACCATTTGTACTGTACTGTAATATACCTGATTGTACTTGGATGGTTTGACCCAATGCCTATTACAGTCAATAAAAGGACTCCTATTTTTTTCATTCCCTCTCCCACAGAAATCAGAAAGGCCTCAGGAAAGCACAAATTCTTGTATTGTTGTATCCTGTCCTGCTGTGAATATTCATTACATCAGACAAATCCCTAATACTCATTAATTGGTGCTTTCAGCATTATGTACATATTTTTTGATAGTCTTGGGTTTATGACATACTTGTGGATGGAGCAGGGGAGACTGAAGGAAAGTTCTGCTCCTTCCTTCCGCTCTGTGCACTAAGGCATGAATATGGCCCTTGGAACATGGGCTGTCATTTGTTGTGTCTGCACAGCATCTCACACAATGGGACCTAATGTAATTATGGCATTTCAGTTCTGCTGTTTGTATTTTTTTTATTGTAATAAAACATTTTTAATTGCAATGGTTTTCAATTATTTCCAAGGATCTTGGATAACATGTCTCTAATCCATCAGGTGGCTGTGTAAAGAGAAGCGATATGGGTCTTTCTGCTTTAGATGGGAACTATATTCTTGAAAGAGAGCAAGGCAGTTTGTTACCATCTTTTCTTCTAGTTACTGCAGATACAACGTGCGATAGGCATGGAAAGAAAACTCACTTCCAAAAGCAAAAGCCTGGCAGTGATGAGCAGGCTTTATAGCTCACAGACCCAAACAATCCTATTCTTTTCTTTTCAGCCATCACTCGTGGGTCACAACAGCCAGGATTAAGGAAGAATGACCACTATCGACCAGCCCAGGTTTATTTTTAGATATTGTATTACTCTAGACAGCTTTCACAGCATTTTTTGTTTCTTAATTTCTTCTATTTAAAGTGCTACTTCAAACTTAGAGGGAAAAAAATTCCTCGCTGTAAACTGAAAAAGTACCTAACCCTCCATCTTCTAATGGCCTGGATGGACATTCTCTTTCATACTGGCACTTCATTTCCATTGTACAGCTGCAGTTTGTGCTTAGATCCATATCTTACAAAAAATGTACTCATGTGCTTAACTTTCTGCACATTACTAGTTCCACTGAGTTCACACTGGGATTATACATGTCTGTAAAATGAACCAGCTGTTTAAGTGTGTGTAGGCGGGAGACCTTTGTGCCAGATTTTTAAAAGTATTGAGGTACCTTTTAAAAGTATTGAGGTGCCAGATTTTTAAAAGTATTGAGGCTCAGCCATTTTTCAGCATCACCCAGATGGATTCAATTCTTTACAGGCTGTGCAAAATATAATGCCACCTGCTGTAACTAGGGCTTTAATCTCAAGGAAGAGATGTGAGGAGTCAGGAAAGTAAAGCATCTTGGCTAGCAGGTGCCTTTGTGTGTTTAACAAAAGCAATGCTTAATTGAGGTATAGAGGGGAAAGATCTGCAATGTCTCATTTGACAGGGTTACTGACGTATCACCAATCAAAGACACCAGTATCACTGGTTTAATCAGTAAATTTCCAACCTGGGAGAATAACTCATTAACAAGGTGCACAAAAGAAAAAGGAGCTCAATGGGTTTTTTCCCAGTGGCGTATAAATAAAGCTCCCTTGTCATGGTACATTCTATGTAGCCGGGCTAAGAGTATAAAAACCAGAGATTTATCCAGAAGCCTGATAAACGAGGCTTTATAAAAAGGAGGAAAAGCCCTTCAATCACTGACAACAACTGTCTTCCTGAAGCTGTTTAGAGGCTTGTACTGGTATCGGTGACCCATCAGGTGACCCTAAGTCAGAGTGGAGAAGCCCTCTACTTGATAGAACATGCTTGAGTGATAAAGATAATGAAGAAGGTTTGATGGGAAAATGGAAGGGCAGCTCAACAAGATCTAATCTGCATTCAGAGGCAAAACATTCTTTCTGCAGACTGGGAGGCTGATTATTATCATCTGTGGCTGGGATTATGGCCTTCTCAAAGATGTTATTTGCAGACCTTATTTGCTGAGAGAGAGCTCTTTGCCAACAGTGAATCATTTCATTATAGTATTTACTGAACGTTCAGGATGCTTCCTCCCATCCCTCACTCCGGGGCACCACGTTGACTCCCAAGTGCCAATAAAACCTGAAAAGAAGAGAAGATTGGACATATTACCCATTTCAACTGCCTTTCTTCCCACCCCTACTTGCTCCTGTTTAAAAAACAAGCCTGATTGGCTAGTTAAGGAAACAGTCTAATGAAGTGTGCAAGCTTCTGCTTTTGAGAGCATCAACTGTTTTAATTAGCCTGTTGGATGCAAATTTGGTATTTTAAATTATATCATGGCTATTTGGACATCATTTTAAAAACATTATATAAATGTAATCACTTTGTATCCTTAGCCCCAAAGAGGTCTCTAGCGACTGCACCACTCATATGCAGCTATCTCTGGGTTAGGGTGCAGAGGCTAGGCATAGAATTAGGTCATTAGGCAAATTGTGTGAGGGGGAAAAAAATGCTGTCACTGGAGTAAATTTTTACTCCTCTGAGATGTGTCATGGCATCTTTAGTGCACGCTTTTAAAGTCTCATCTACAAGACCTTTTCCCAGAAAAGTGCATTTGTCTTCGTAATCTCAGAACAATCAAGCCTTCTCAGATGTGCCAAATAGGGTGCCCTGCTGTTTAAAATGCCAGGGTAAGGTTGTAGCTCTCTTGATCAGTTCATATGCAGCACTGATCCTAAATTAAAGCACTCCTCTAAACTCAATCACATGGTCACTTTTGTGCAAACGGACAAATCTTCTCCCTCCACCGCTATGCAAGAATATTCACAATATAGGGAGAGGAATTGTAGGAAAGGTTGTAGAGTAATACTGAACACATTGACTGATATATATTTCATTTTAAAAAACTTGGTTTTTTAAATTGCAACTTTCTACAGAGCTTAATGTTGTAAAATTTCAGGGCTCTATTTACCACATTAAGTTCCACGCTCAAAGAGTACATGGGAATTCCATGGTGCCTCGAGACTTGTACATGCTCTTTGCACAGAAGTGAACTTTACCCTAAAGCTTGAATGGTGCAAACACTTGGGCACAAGCTTAACTTTAGGCAAGGAAATAGCGCTATATTGAGAAGGGGCCTCAATTCTGACTTGGTTTGATTTTCAATATTTAAATTAATTTGTGTGAAATGAAGATATTATATTTTCCCAATTTAAATGACAAAAATAGAGAAATTAGCATTACAAAACACAGAAGAACTGGTGGAGGGTTAGAATGTGTGCCTTGTGATATATGGTTGGGGTAATTTCTCCCCTCACCCTCTCTTTTCTTGGCTTAGACTAGAGGAAAGTGCTACAATTATTTTGGCTTGTGTTGTTAGCTTGAATTGTTAATACATGGCAGAAGTCCTGGTGCTTTTTAAACAGTATGTAAAAATGTTACCAAATAACTGGTGACTAATATAAACTCCTCATTACTAAATGAGCTGACATTTAGTGGCAGCTGACTTCACAGTTTTTATTTACTTTTTCAAGCTGGTTCTCATTTTAAAAAAAAGTAAGGAACAAATAGGAATAAAAATGCCCGCTCTCAAGACATTTCAGTGGATTTTCATTATGTATTATCTTGGATTCATTAAATGTCTGGCCAAATATCAATCTCTGCTGAGGTCTGCCTGAGCCTGATTTGCTCTCTGGCATTACCTACAGTCCCAAGGTTTCTACTAACACAATCAGGATGCTGGGTATAAGAAAAAAAGACATTAACCTGCTTGTTGATATTCATGTTCCAGCACATCCCCAAATGAACAGAATACTCAAGGGGTCAGGCTTCACCCTAATCAGAAAAGAGAGGATGCAGATTGTTTTGATCAGCACTACATGTGTCTGGAAGGCTAATCCAAAATTAATTAGATCTGGGCTGCATAGAATTCGTTTGGATTTGTAAACATGGGAACATGGATTATGCAGATCGAGAATGGATAAAGGTAACTAATTTGTACATTGATGATGCTTTAATAATGTCACACATGTGCTCCTTTGTCTTAATAATTGCCAAAAACTAAGAATATTTTACTGCAAATTAGTGTGTGTGTGTAGACAGAAGTAAAAAATGAAGATATTTTACAAGCCAGAATGAGAAACAGATGGAAAAGCATTTAGTAATCATTATATAAACAACATTTAAGTGAAGGGTTCCATTCTGAAAAAGTCAATAAAGTATAAATAAAGTCCTTTTTAAAAAGGAAAAAAAAAAACTACTCACCCTTTGGTCTCAGGAAACAAATTTTAGAATTATTCTAAAATAACCTTTCACTTGTTAATGTGTAGAACCTAAGGGCCAAGTTTTCAGTGGTTGTTAATTAGCATTGCTCTCATTATTTAAATGACATTATGCCAAGTGGCACCAGATGAGAATCTGGCTCTATATTCTAATACTAAAGAAACAACATAGGCGATATGTGAGGGAGTGAGAGGAGGGCTTGGCAGTACAGGGGGGCTAAAAAAGGCCTTTTTGCCCTGCCCCGTTTTACCTGCAGCCAGTGCCAGGCCTGGAGGGAGAATAAAAGGAGGGGACCTAGCTCAGTTAGGGGCTGACCAACGAAAAGGCAGGAGCTGGTTCTGCCGTCTACGGGACCTGAGCCAAAGCTGTCTGCTGGGCTGGCTGCAGGAGGATGCAAGCCTCCAACTCCTCCCCCTGGTGCAAAGGGGAAGAACCAGAAAGAAAACTCCACCGAGAAGGGGGAAATTGAACTCTTGGGGCCACATCCCAAACTAAAGGAACAGACTCCGATAAGAGGCTGGAAGTCCTATACCCCAGACCCCTCACTAGCTCTGGGACCTAACCACTAGGCCACCCTGCTACCCGGGAAACCTGGCCACACTATAGTATCATTTTTGTAGTACTTAAATCCCATGATTTCTAATAATTTCAGCACTACTGGGATATTGTCCATATCAATAAGATTTGAGTGTCAATAGTTATATTGGGAAATTTAGCCCACCAGAGGGGACCTGAAGAAATGAAGGGCACAGTTCTCAGCGAGGCTCAAGTTCTGCAAACTAATTGATAAGAGAGTGATTATCAATTCATAGAGGCAGGGAGGGGAATGGGTAAACAGGGTAAAAGAAGCTGTGAGCATTGACCTAATGTTAGCAAAATTATCTTTATCAGGAGAGAGGTCTATTAATCTGCCAGATTAGACATTTCTTCTATCCTCTATATATGGAAGCCACGGCAGATGAGAAGATGGCTATGTTAGGATGTGTAATGTGAATGTCATACAACTGCACTGTTTCTCATTTTAGTCTCACAAATAGATTATCATTGTGTGATTTTATGTCCTTTCCTCTACAGTTGTAAGAGTGAAGATTTAAAAAAAATGAAAAGATTGAATTACTTTTTACTCATAATAAAACTCACTAGTTCTGCATATAAAATTGTGTTAGAGGCTGAAAGTAGAATAAGGAGATTTTAAATAGCAACGGCAAGTACTTAGACCCAGGGTACAGCAGATTGACTACATGTCAGGACAATAGTCCAAAAATAAAATAGGGAGACAAGAAACATAAAATGTTTGTTTAGTAAGTTGTTATGGGAAGACATTGTCTATATGTTCTGTGCTGACCCACCAATAGCAATGGTGGGCTCCACAGCATAAATCAATGTGCCCTCTGTCTCCCTCCCTGAGCCAGAGCCAAAAGTCCCCTCGCCCCTGCCTGGAGAAACCCCAGGAGACAAAGGAGCCCTGGGCCAGCCCAGACCTGCCTCCCACTCTGAGGAGCCCCAGGGCAGCTATACTGTACCTCCCTTTACCAGACTCAGGCTACCTGCTCTGAGGAAAACTGCAGCAGCATCTCTTGAGTCAAATATGCTTTTGATATACAGGTTCTGGGGCCCAGTAATCTTAGCCAGGCTGGGTAGGAATGGTGTCCCTTGCCTTTGTCAGAGGCTGGAAATGGGTGACAGGAGAGGGATTATTTGAAGATTCTCTGTTCTGTTCACGCCCTCTTGGGTACCTGGCGCTGGCCACTGTCGGCAGACAGGCTACTGGGCTAGATGGACCTTTGGTCTGACCCAGTATGGCTGTTCTTATGTAAGAGATACTTTTTGGCAGAGCTACTGCAACAGTGTTCAGGCATCTTGCACCCTTTTAAATTGTCAGGCCTCTGAGCAGTGCCTAGCAAAATGGGGTCCTAATATTTGGGCAGGGCTAATGAGGCAGCCCCCATGAGAAATGGTAAATAATACAAACTACTCTGAAGAAAATTAGGTTTTCTACTAGTTCAGTTTTCTGGTATACAAAGTTTTACACTAATAACATTAGATTGAAATCAGATCAAGGAAGAGATGGAGAGCACTTGGGTGAGTGTCCCTCACAAAGCAAAGCACTGAGAAGCATGGTTTAGAAAACATTTCCTCCAACCACAATAGCGGCTGTATGTAGGAAGGACAATTACAACACACAGATCATCTTTGCCACTGGCTGGAAAACCTAGCTCAAGATTTTCATGCTGTCACAGGATACAAATGAGAAGGAAATCGTATAGGCCTCATTTCTTATTCTTTCTCATAGTACTACCTTAGGGATGTTACGAAACATGTAATTCCTTAATCATGTAGTCGACAAAAGTTAATTGAAGTGGGTTAGTGCTGCAAGCACTCAATCCCGGCGTGGGCCAGGACCAGCAGATACCATGCTGTGGCTCTGCACAAAGAGCATTTTTAAGGAGCTGGAAGGCAGGCAGCCAGTTCAGTCCTGGCTCATGCTAGGTCCTAGGAGCTACCCCCCAATTTCCCTGTAGAGCCACAGCAGGGGTAGCTTCCAGGATCTGGCTGCAGCCCTCTGAAAAATTGACTGGCAGAGCCACTGGGATTAAGGGGAAATGCATGTAGATTGGAGTGGGCAATAATTTTGGAACAGGGGCCACTTCACAAATTTCAGAAATGGCCACAGGCTGACTTGGAAGGGGCAGAGCCTCAGGCAGAAGGGGCAGGGTTGAGAACTACCCTGTTGGGTACTGTGATCTTATTTTCTGAAGCAGCTGCAGCTAGTAAGAATGGTTTAATTGAAATTATGAAACAGATCAAATATTTTAACTTTCTCATGTTAGTCTATTAAACTTCATTTTAAATAAACTTAAATATTATGTCCAACCCAAAAGGTTTCAATGTTTTCTTTATGTATGGCAGGGGTGGGGAGTCCTTTTTGGCTTGGGGGTCACTGACACACAGAAAAAATCATTTGGGGACCACATAAGTAAGAAGCAAAAAACTTCCCAGTGCTCACTGATGTGGCCCCAACTGAGACACCTCACTCCCCTGGTGCCCCAGCCTCATGGGGTGAGGAGAAGGTGGGAGGGGATTGAGATTCCGGGCTTCCCATAGACGAGATTTACTTTTCTGGGGTTCTGGAGTTAGTGGATTTTAAGGATCTCCTCAAGCTCTGGGGTAAAGACAAAAATGAGGGGTACAGTGCACAAGATAGGGCTGCCAGCAAGTAGGATAGGGATGGGGTGCAGGATCTGAGAGGGAGTTGGGTTGCAGAAGCAGTCTGGGAGTAGGGTGTCTGACCAGATGGAGAGAGCAGGAACAAGGGAGGGTGCAGTGTGTGGCCAGAAGAGAGGGTGCAACAACAAGGGAGAGTGTCATCCATAGTTATAACTTGGCTGATCTGCTACAGATTTGGGCTGCTGCTTTCATGGGGTACTGGGTGAACCCCAGGAAAAAAAAATCCTGGCAGGCACATTAAAAGAAACAATCCCAGAAATAATTGGGACATTTAAACCATAAAATAAATGTATTTTAATCAAAACAAAAACATCACAACAGTATGTTTTGCTACTGCTCTTTCTGTTGCTGATGCACAATATCAAAGGAATACTTTAAGAAACCACCAACTACTCATGGTGTGTTGATTGCTAATCAGAAAAGATGATCATTAAGATAACCCCCACAAGCTTGATCCCTCTCATCTCCTGCATTTAACATACTGCACATTGTGTCTGCATCTGCCTACCACCACTCTCGCAGCCTTGGGAACCATAGTGCTCTCTTTGTGACTCAATCCTGTGGCTATGTCACCATCTGTGTTCCCCCTTTTTGGGGGTTAGTGTCTCAGTCCTAGTGAGAAATCAGAGGAACCAAGGCATGCCCACTACTCTGGGTTTCAGCCCAAGGATCTTGTGAAAAGCAGCTCCTTGCTGCACCTCTAGTTTTTCTCACTGTTGCTGTTATTCCTTGGGCCACTTCCCTATGGCCCTTGCACCTTTATTGCCCTAGCCTCTCTGCATTCAGCTGTCAGTCCCTGCAGCCTTCCAAGAAACTCATTTGCTCACTCAGTGTCTGCCAACTGACCTGTCCATGATCCTAGCTTTCTTCCAGCCTGCTAGTGACACCGTTCTCACCCCCTTGGGCTCCCAGGAGCAACTGACCGCAATGCCACCCCGTATCTCCTTTTATGTGAGTCTACTAAGTTCTTCTAGACTACTCCTTGCAGCCTCTTTCCTATTGGCTGTGACTCACACAGCCTCTCTGGGCTGCTTGGAGGACTCACCTCCATTGCTCCTTGATGAGGTTAACCCTTTCTACAAGGGCCCCATCACAGAGACCTAATAGTATTTTCTGTCTCCAATATTATAAAACACTTTGAAAAATCCCATCAAGTTACTACCCAAATGCAAAATATTTTTAATGGGCAGAACTGATATCTTTCTCAGTTAAAGTTGCATAATATTTTCCATTATAAGACCCTGATTTTGGTAGTATATAACTTTGTCACACTAAGTGTTTGTGATGCAAGTTTCCATGCTGGTTTTTTGCCTTAGGCTAAACCT